AAACACTGAAAGGTAACATAGGCCAGCCGGATGGTAAATAGCTCAACAGATCCAGGCTGTAGAGACATGTTGAAGGACAAGCTAGAGCCCCACTATCGGAAGATGAGCAAGACACCAAATGTTGTTATTGGCAGTGAGGTTCTCTAAAACACTTGCTGGCACATGCCTTCCTGTGTAGTCGGTTAGAAAGGAGCCTCCATGTGACATGCAAATAAAGACCTCTGGCAGCCATCAAAGCCTAGCAGCAAGCTCATCTCTAGCTCAAGAACACACAGAAAATAAGATGAGAGAAGGATCAGAAAGAAAACTAGAAGAAATGGATTAGGTCAGGGAACTAAAGAGAAACAATGAAGAAAAGACAGAGAGAAAGCAAGAGGATGAAAAGGAAGAATGGAGGGAGAAAATACAAAAAAGAACCAGGCACCCTTATTCAACCAAAGCAAGATCCCACACACTGTGTGGCTACAGGACATAAGCCCAGATGTCCCAGTGGGATCCCCACCCTCACCCCATTCCAGCTCACATATGTTGACATTAGAATTAAGAACACACTAAGCAAAGCATTTCCTCTCCCTTCCGGGAATGGAACTTCAAACTTCAAAGTGGCTTTAGCTACTCTCCCCACTGCTATGTCTTTATCACTTAAAACTATCCTTACATGTGGTAACTGACCAAGAATTATCACTAGCTGAATGAATAACTTAATTAATAATCATGGTTTAAAGAGACTACATACTTAAATCTAGTACTTACATAGGTACCTGACAAGTTATGAAACATTTTCACACACGGAGACAAACAATCAGAGCACTATTTGCACTCAAACTTGAACCTTGCTCTTGGCTTACCCTAAGTACACACACACACACACACACACACACACACACACACACCATGTGTGTATTAAGGTTTATTTTATTTTTTTATTTATGTGTCCTTATATGTATATGCCATGTGTCTGAAAATGCCTATGCAGTACAGAAGAGTACATAAGATATCCTGGATGTGGAGTAATAGGTTATTATGAGGCACCCACCACTAGGGCTGCTGTCAACTAAACTCAGATCCTTCTTAATCTCTATGCCATATCTTCATCCCCCTACAAGTATGTCTGTGTTTGTGGGGTTTTTTTGGTTTTGTTTTTTGTCCCTCTCTCTGAGTCTTTATTCTTATGCTGCCTTAAAGTCTCCTGTAGACAGTGACTTTAACCTGTTGTTACATGATTGCCATGCATGCTTGTGTATAGATTGAAAGTTAATCTAATCAGCAGTTAGAAATAATAATTGTATTTTTAAAAAATATGGATAGAAGTTGATTGTAGATACAACTTTTAAGCATTTGTAAAATGAAAATTTGTAAAAGTAAAATGAAAATTTGTAAAAGTAACTTTTATTCACCTGATGTAATTGTCATTTTGGAGGCTTCCTGATGAATAAGCTCATTCTTTTTTTTTTTTTTCCCTCCCCTTTGTTGGGCATTTCAGCTAATCTCATCCCTGTTGGGTCCTGGGAGCTTCTTGCTTTTCTGGCATTTGGGACTTGCTGGTTGCTACCTCCAGTTCTCCATTGCCAATTGCTATACACCTCTGTTCCAATTCCCGACCCTCTGTATATCATTCTAGTCTCCTCTCATACCTGAACCTGCCCCCTCCTTTTCCTCTTCCTCCTCCCCTCCCCCTCCCCCTCTTCTCTTCCTCCCAAGTCCCTCCCACCCTCTACCTCCCATAAGTATTTTATTCTCCCTTTTAAGAAGTCCTGAAGCATCCACATTTCTAGTTTTTTTCTGAACTCTGGCTGGCTGGTTGAACTCAGCTGTTCTGGCTCAAACTCCTCTCCAAGCTGACTGATTCCATCTAGCTTCTCACTGAATCACTCTGCTTGGCCTCAAACTAACTTTAGCCATCTACTCTAATCTGGCTCCTTGTTGTCTGGCTTCAACTGCCTCTGCTGACCTGCACTGAACTGCATGCACTCATGAACAAACTCAACGCCATTGCACTGACTTACTGTGCTGACTCTCAACTGACTCAACTCTTTTTCTCTCCCTGTGTTGCTCTTAAGAAGCTTCTCTTTCCCATCTGTTCTCATGAGAGTTGGATGAATCCTATCTCTGACTCATGCTGTCTATTCTTTTTCTGATTTATCACTTTGTTTGTCCCTCAATTAGACATCACTATCAAACAATGCTCCTTCTACAAACTAAGCTTACCTACATTGTTTGGCATTAAAGGTGTATACTAAAGGCATGTCTGTGTTGTGGTAAATCTCCAACCCAAATAGGACCGGTCAAGAAAAACACAACTCAATAATTATGAATACAAAGTGCAAGCCTACATTGGGCAGATTTACCACTATGCTACTCTATTTCCCATCCATGAGATCCCTTATAACTTGCTGTTTTTCCAGGCCACGTGCTTCTCCTCCATTCTCCTTCTACCTCTCCTCCTCTGGTTATCCTCCCACCATTTCCTCTCCAGTCGTTCTCCTCCCTCTCCTCTCTCCCCAAACCTTTTTCACTCCACCTCCCCTTCTACTGCCCAATCACTGGCTCTAGCCTTTATTTTACAAATTAAGGTGGGCAGAAGGTTCACAAGAAGTCACGTGTGTACTTATTCACTCCTCATCTGCAGCCCCTCCCAAGAAAGCAGAATTAGCATCAAAATACAAGACCTGGGCTATATAAACCATGTCTGTATTCCACCCAGAGGAGTTAAAATTCCTCTACAAAAATTAAAACCGGTTAAAATATTAAATCAATAGTGACAGAAATAAGAATTTATCCAATTGTGTGGAAGTGTGCACTCTCAAAAATATAAGTATACCAATTTACTGTAATGGGATTATGTTTCTATTTCCCTTTTGCCTAAATATTTTTTAGTATAGGGACAATTTAAGTTGTGAGAAAACTAAAGGTGGATTTGACATCATGGTTTGTCAGTGAGGACATGATTTGAAGCCCAGGTTAACATATGAGATCTAGATCCTGGGACTGGAGAGAGTCCTCTGTAAGCATTCCATGCTCTCACAGAAGACCCTGGTTCCCTTCTCAGCATCCACATGGCAGCTCATAACCATCTACAACTCAAGTTCCCAGGAATCTGGTGCCCTCTTCTGGTTTCAATGGGCTCTTGCATTCATGTGGCACAGAAATACACTCAGATTCATACACAGAGAAGAGAAAATAAAATACTTTTAAAATAAAACCCAGATCTGAATGACAAGACTTTTCAGATTCAAGGCGGCCAAGCAAACAGGCTCCTATTTTGGAGAGTAGCATGGCATTTAACCATCCGAACTTATGCATATTCACATTGACTCTGAAACTCGATTCTGACTTAGGCTCAGATGTACTTCACTAAGTTAGAATCACAAGGCAGAAATGTTACTAAAACAGGAAAACATGCATCATCTTTTTGGTCTCTGTGTTCTCTTTCTCTTTCTTACTGTTTGGCATTTCCTCAAGTAAATTTACCTTATTATATGTCTGTTTTAACTTGTCTATGATGATTCATATTTTTAAAAAACAGTTCAGTAGTAACTTGTAAGACTTCTTTAGTTTCCAGCACGTCACATCATACAGAGAGCCTGAATGATTCACCAGCATAATTTCAGCTATAGCATAGTTCTCTAACCAGTAATTCAGTAACACTAGAGAGTTACAGATTACATACATAAAGACGTCTGAATCATTAAGGGTGAAATTGAAATCTATCTTTTAACAAAATTAATGTGCATGTATTTATATCACATAGCACATTTCACATAAAGTATCAATGAAAGAAAAGCAGTAAAACATCCACATAAAGAGTCAGTGTCAGAATCTAAGAACAAAATGCTCCTCATGGAACATAGGCTGGTGGAAATAACTGCCTAAGAAAACTGACAGACACTTTCTTCTAGGGCTAAAGAGATGGCCCAGCAGGTAAGAGTACTTGCAATTCTTTCAGGGACAAGTGCTCAGTTCCCAGTATCCATGTTGGGTGGCTCACAACCACTTCACAACTCACTCCAGCTCCAGGGATCTGATGTCCCCTTCTGATCTCTGAAGGCACCTGTATTCATGTGAGTGTACACACACACACACACACACACACACACACACACACACACACACAAAGTAAATCTTATATGGAAATGCTTTCTCCCCACAAGGGTTACATTTCTCATAAGAGACAAGGACTGTAAATGAGAGAAGATGCAGGTTTCTCTGCCGAAGTTCAATATTTGGGGTCCCAAAGCAGAAGAAAGGTGCTTCTGCTTGGAGAAGTATGTGTACCCACACCAGTGTGTGAGTCACGCCAATGTGCTCATCTTGTCTGGTTCTTGAGACTAGGAGAGGTCTGAGTCATTGAAGGGTGTGTCCCATACTCCCTTGCAGATACTTGAAAAGAAGCTGTGGGAAAAAGGGAGCAAAGACAGCACACCTGCCTCTTCTGCCTGGAGAACTCAAGAGGAACTCACCAGAAAGCAAATGAGAAAACACTCGGGGAAGCACCTTCTCTCTCACATCCCTAGATCCTAATGACTTCTTTATGTGGAGTAGGAAGAATGTGAGTACACTCCACATATGTCCCAAAAATACAGCCTCTTCATTCTCCTGTTAATAAATTTCTACACCAGAGATAAAAGGGGCTGGAGCTATGGCTCAGCCGTTAAGAGCAATTACTCATCATCAATTTCAGGTGTTTTACCAGTCATGACTACAATCAAAACTACATTATGAATTTTTCTAGGCGGTCCTCATCTGGGGAGCTTGCCTTAAAAATTCCTGGTCCCGATACATACTGATGATGTTGACAATTGTCCAGTGACCTGTTCTATAGCATAGTCACTACTATACAACAAAGATACTGTGGAGTATTTTGGCTTTCATGCTAGTCTGGAAGTCAGTGATTCAAGTCTGCTGTTCTCACCTTTGATCCTTTAGTCTTTACACTCAGCAAAGACAGGAAGCTAACTTAGCATCACTGTATCACATTTCTCATCAAGAAGTGCTATTTCACACATTCAATGCTTGTTTATTTTTATTTGACAAGTTGCCAAAGCAATTTAATTGCCAAATTAAAGTTGTTTATAACATTGAAAAATAAACTCCAATTGCTCTTTAGACAGTTAACTGTTTCCTTATAAATGTAAGAAAACAATGGTCTGTACATTTACATAAAAGCCCAGAGGAGGGAAGGAAAGTGATACAAACGGAGAGCTGTTTTTCTTGCACACTAAAATAGCACATTTTTCAACTATACATTCGAGAAGAGAGTAATGTTATATGATGCAGTGAATAAAAAAAAATCGACAATTTCAAATGTCTATCATGAAAGTAACCCTCGGTAAAATAAAAACAGGAAAAATTTAAAAATCAATCAGAATCTTGGATACACATGAGGTTTGACCAGTGCAACAGTTATGGCCCATCCAAAGATTCACCACATGTAACCTAAACTGGCCTCTAGCTTCTCACATAACTGTGGAGAACCTTGAACTCCCTCGATCCTCCTGTTCCTCCCTCCTCCCAAGTGCTGGGGTGACAAACATGTTGCCACCACGTCTGTTTTATGCAGGCTCATACTCAAATCCCTTGTCTATGCCAGGTTGAGTTACATCCCTCATTGTAGCCCCGCTCCTGATTTCATAGCCCAAATAAGAAGAGGTCTGAAAAGTGTCTTGCCTGCATAGATCCAAAATTTCTGTTTCTTCTGTCGTGATAAATCCCCACTAACAAAGCAAACTGATAAAAATAAAAATAAAGTCACACTGAAGGATGATTATTGAGTTTCTAGAAGGTTTGCCAGCTAAGTGAATCTGTTGCAAGGCTTTCAAGCTGCTTTGGCAGACAGGAAAAGGTGGGCTGGGTTTCTGGAATGCTGCCAGTGCTCCTTTCCCATAAAATCTGAGTGGGTTCTGGAAACAAAGCTAAGATTCTGAGTCAACAGCTAGGAAGGTAACAACATTATTCCCCCCATCCACCTGCCCCGCTGTCTTCCAGTGCCGTGAAGGCTCCTGACTTAAAAGACAAGACTCTTCTTCAATAACAAGAATGGCAGCATCTGCCTTAATTCTAATATCCAGAGACTGGAACAGGAGGACTTTAAGTTTGAGGCTAGCCAGTACCAGTACGTAGAGATAACCCAATCCCCCAAAATAAAATAAAAGAAAGGAAAAGAAAAAAAGAAGAGGAGAGGAAAAAAGTAGAAGAAAAGTAATTTCAGCGGCTGTCAACAATAGGTCCCAAGAAAATGACATCCTTTCTGTAAACTGCCGGCCAGGAAGCTGTAGGCCCCAGCAATGTATCGGATACAGGGCCAGACCCCGTAGTTGGCTTCTAATATTAGGATGTACAAATCTTTATATATCCTCAAAGCGAATCTACTCTTCTATGTGGATGTCTCTTTCTTCCCCAATAAAACTACAATTTGTGTTTCTAAATTTAAACAAATTACTCAAGCAGGCAAGAGCTGACACATTTAGGTGACACATAGCCCACAGTAACCTGGCAGAAGGGAGTCGGCTCCTTACAGATCCTGGTTTCTTGTTACAAGATAAGTCATACAGAGACTTATTTTCAATCGTTGCCATTTTCCTCTTTGTTTCCTTTGCACTTGAAATGTCACTCGGATATGTACTTTGGTTACAAATAAACACTGGTTTCAGACTGTCCTGAAACACATTAGGCTAGCTTGCAAAATTTTGTTTCTGAAGTCCAATAAAGTATTAGATCCTGAAAATAGAAGGAGACAGGTCCAAAAGTTTTAAATGTAATCTATCATAAGTTTTTTTCTTCTCTGAAACATTCTTCCTTAATGTTTTGTTTGTTTCTGAAACCATCCTTAGAAGGATGTGATGTTGGTACAACTTAACTGTTTTCAGACTAGTAGTTTACACCAGTCATTTGTTAGGAAGATATCCTCACAGCAGGGTGCGTCCTTTACAGACCTTAGTTGATTCCAGTACTACTGCTTGAGCTCTTCCTATCCTCTATTTTAACCCTTTGCTCTTTGAAAAGTGGTCAGCCACAAATTGCTTTAACAATACAAATTGGTAAGAGGAAGATTGTAAAATGGAGAAAGTTCATTATATGTGCATAAGCTCCTGGACACACAATGTGGGTATACCCTAGCAGCACTTAGTAGAGATACATGCCCTGCATGCTGCTGCAAGGGTCATTACCCTGTGACAGACTAGGAACTGGAGCACACTGCTCCTACCCCACTTTGCAGGAGACTTACACACAGCACATAGAAAAAGATCAGAATTTCACAAATACTTTCTTCTGAATATGTGTCAATTCACACTAGACTACAGTCAATATCACATGTCACATCAGCATAAATCAAGACCATTTTGTGTAAGTAGTGAGTCTGTTTTACAGGATCCTTGTTTCAAACTTCTGGAATATCTGCTAAGGCCATCTCTAATTGTAACCCAGTACCATTATCTCTTTGTGCATGTTTCTGCCAATGTAAGAAATTTGGGTTCCAAGTTGTTTAAAAAATCGAGTCCCTCCTCTTCCTGCTTTTCGCTGCAGCAACCTACAGAGCCGGCTGGAGATCCCCTGCCTTCGTAGTTATAGGTGAGGACATAGTCTTGGGATGGGATGTGTTCTTCGTTCTGATTACACACATGCAATTTCTGTAATGTCCAAAAAAGAGGATTGTATTATTTTTTTAAAACAACTTCAACATATGAACAGAAAATTTATTTTATTTACCTTTTATGTTTAATTTTAACCAGTGTGTCCTCTAATGGAGTCCTACATACAAAAAATGCACATGATTGGTCTATATTACAGCCATATCATAAATCAATATAGTTTGCATTTTTAATAATTCATCAAAATAAAAATAGGTCGACAAATGTTATATTTAAGTACATTTAAGTCATCATTAAATATTTATCCCCAAATGTTATGTCTAGAGTTGAGGTCAGTTCACAAAATAGAGACAATATGCCAAATGTTTGGAATTTGTAGGTGGACACCAACTAATCCTGGTTTGAAGTAAGTTTAGCTTACTAATGTGTTACTTTAAGTCAACCTCTCCTCCAATATCACCTTGTTATTTCGGGAAACTAATGATAGAAAGATCAATGCATGAAAGTATACTTCTTATGCCCATCATGTGTAAGGGTACAATGATCATGAACTAAACTTCTATCGTGTGCAGCAATGAAGTACATCAAAATCAAATAAATAAATAAATAAATAAATAAATACGAAATCTAACATAGACAGAAGTCAGAGATATACCCCAGAAAAGCAAAAAAAATTTAAAGTATCCATTTAACTTACACTGCAGAAATTATACTTGTGCTCTGAAGCAGCCAAGCCTTCGGCTGCCTCTGCTTTATTCCCAGTACTATGTGTGTCCGGCTGACCTGTCTGCCTTACCCTCAGTACTAAGTCCCACTGACCTGTCTGCCTTACCCTCAGTACTATGTCCCACTGACCTGTCTGCCTTACCCTCAGTACTATGTCCCGCTGACCTGTCTGCCTTACCCTCAGTACTATGTCCTGCTGACCTGTCTTCCAATCTTCCAGCTTCTCTATGATGACCTTCACAGTCCTTGCCTAACCCTTAGCTCACGACCAGCTGCTACCAACTGTTTTATCCATGACCTTGCTAGCCTCTTCTCCCATGACCTGTTATAACACTGAAGGGCGTTCCTAAGTGAGTGTCTGGAATTTTAATTCTCATAATCTCACATGAATGCTATCTTAAAATGTAAAACATGTAAACATTTAAGTATGACAATATATAAATAAAAATAATAATATAGACATGCAGTGACTAAGATCCCTCTTTTAGAATATTATCCATGTTCTGTCCATTACAGAACTAAACAAGTTTGTTACAATATTTGCTAGAAGCACACCAGTTCCCTCTGATTCAAACTTGGAAGTAGTTTGAGCAAGAATGTTTAAACAGGACCTGCTTAACATACAAATCACATGTGAGATTTTGTTTACACACACATGCACACACACACACACACACACACACACATACCAGTGCAATTAGAAGCTCCTAGAATGAAACAAAGGCATTTATATTTTTAAAAGCTTTCTAATACTGTTGTTTTAGACTGAGACCCACTTATTTAACCCTTTATTTCTCATCTCTCTAGAAAAGACCCTTTATATCTGCATAGTATGATTTGTATATTGAAAACAATCCCTATGATGATGTGTTGTATATTTCAAAATTACCAAGCATAAATTTCAAATGTCCCCATGAACTGAGTCACTGCGCTGTTCCACATTGCATACATAGCCGATCCCTCAACACACCCCATCAATGTGTACAATGATAACTCATCCACTTAGAGTAAAGTAGAAAATTAAACTAAGTAAACAAATGGATGTAAGGCTTAAGTTAAGTGTGCAGCTTTCTAAATTAAAGTTGCACCTCAGTAAAGTGTGCCAGTCTTTACCCTAAACCTGCATTCAGAGGTTCATGTTTTCAGAGCAAAATACAAATTAGATTTGGGAAACTCATTATTTGTGAGGAACTAGAATTTTTCTTCACATTCTTTTCTTATCAAGGGAGTTTATAAGATAGAGATGCACCTAAAAATGACCATTCAGGGGCAGATATTAGAAGCCTTTGGGTCTTGTAAGGGTCTAAAAACTGAATGAATGTGACAGAGGAATAAAAATATTTTAAAAATTAAAGACTGTAACAAAACCAAGACACTTTTAAATCACTAACAAGAGGAGACATACAAATGCTGTGGGAAGCAGTTTCTGGGAGTGTACATTAATATCAGTGTCAGATTGTTCTCTACTTCAGAGTAAAACACCTAAGGAAACTCACTTCACCGAGTCGCGGCTGAGTGAAACTGTGCCACTCTGAATAAGTGTATCTGCAGTTGTCAGTCTCCATGTGTCCTCCCCTGCAGGAATCCAGAGTGTGGTGATGTCCAGCCACACGGCAGGAATCCAAGGTCTGGTGTCCTTTCATCATCTCAATGGTCTCCTGCCCACCATTCCTCATTCCCGACCCCATTGTGCCACAGAAGCCTTGGCTGGAGTTGTTGGCAGTGTGGGTGGTGAATCCATTGGCAGAGCACTGCATTATAACAAAATAAGACATCAGTGAGGGGTCGAAGAATCTCACACATTGCCGAAAGCAATCACAGTGATTAGTGGTCTAAAAAATTCACAACAACAAAAGACTAAGATTGAATTAATGCTATAAAAAGCAGAAAATTTAAATGTGAAAAGTAAATTTGTTTTATGAAGTTCAGTAAGTGCCACACCATAAGCTCTGGAACACTGATAGACTGAAGACTTACAATTTATAAGATTCCAACCCTTTACAAGTACAAATTAACTCCTACTAACTTCACAGGGATGAATTTTAAAACTATAGAGATAATTATTCATCAAAGAAGTGACTTACCACTCTGTCGTCCCCTGGTGCTTCGGTATTTGATATAATTAAGTTTTGCTGTGCTAAATCTTCAGGAAAATGTTTTCCTTTTTGGGTAGTAACAACTCCACATACTAAAGTTAGCAGTACCGCTAAGTAAAGATAAGAAGAAATGTATTTTTTAAAGATCATGCTTAATTTTCCAAACATAGAATAAAGCAACCATCCTTTATTACTTATTCCTTGGGCCAAAGGGGGACAATAAGAACATTAACTGTGGCTTCCTTTGAATTATCCTTGTCTTTCAAAATTTACAGGCACAACTTGAAATGTGCAGTATTTTGGTGATATTTCTTACAGAAGGAATCCTCCCCTTTGTGTGAAAGTGTTTAGAAGCATGAGTTCAGCTGTAGGTCTTAAAAGTCACTAGTATTTATTTAAGTCAAACATTAATGATATTTACTAATCCTTAGGAAATCAGTTTGCCAATTGGAAAATAAAAAAATAAAATAAAATTTTAAAAGCCTTTTTTTTCTTTTAGTTCAAATTGTCTTCAAATAGCAAAATTAAGCACATTTTGTATTTTATCTAGATTTTCATCCTACATCATAATAGGAGATTTAAGATAACAAGATCACTAAACCAACAGTAATAACAGCTATTTACAGTGGTCCAGAACACCCTCTAGCACACTGACAAACTGAAGCTACAATCCCAGCCCACTACATGTTTTTGTATGGCCCATGACCTAAGATTTCTAAGCCCTTAAATTGTTGAAAGAAAATAATTATGAATAATTCATGATATGAAAATTACAGCTTGGTCCTGGTCTACTAAGTGAATTCCAGAACAGAGAGGGCTACACAATGAGACTTTGTCTCAAACAAAACAAAACAAAACAAAAAACAAGAAAACAAAAAACAAACAAACAAACAAAACCAAAAAAAATCTCCAACCAAACAACCAAGCAAACAGAAAAACAAGAATAAAAAGTACAGGAATTCAATGTTTAGCATGCAGGTTTGATGTGCTGAGACAACACCACTATGCCTCTCATTCAGATACGCTCAGTGATGGCCCTGGTACAGATGTCTCAGACTTCAGGCCGCCCAGATGGTTCTGATATACATACCACCCATCCCCTGAAGGACTACTGTGCCTCCTGTCCCCTCGCCTCTCCTTCTGACTTCATTTCCTGACCCTTCTCCCTTCAATCACTTGTCACAGGAGTCTCCACACCATTGTTTGACTTCTTCAGACCTAATCTTACCATATAGTCTTTGAAAGACTGTATCTTTGGGTATGCCACACAGCTGACTCCCTAAATCACGTCATGTAGGCCTGACCTGGTGATCTAGCCATGTGTTGAAATGTGTGGCCAAGACTAATGACCTAACACAAGCACAGCAGCATGGTCATTCTACTTACTGTAATCCAACCTTTCCCTCCTGTGAAAATAAAACATTTTGGTGATTATTGTTGAATTTTTTGGTTCTATTTTGTTGTTTGGTTGGTTTTTTTCTCTATTTTATTCAACAATGAATCCTACCTAGTACCATTTTCTGAACTTTAGTGGGTGTTAAAATATATATATTTGCATTGGTGAAAAGTAATAAATGAGTGTTTGAAACGTAGAATGTACTAGTCTAAGAATTCCATATCAATTTACTCGATTGTACCCCGAAAGGGTAGGTTGTTTCTATAAATGACGAAAATGAAGCAGAAATAAGTAAGATAAAGACTTCTTAACAATTCTGTCCAAGCGTGCAACCTGTCTCAGAAAGGATTATGTTCCCTCATGTACTGACTACTCAAGCGGAACTCAGCTACCAAGAAAACAGCGGTAACCTGTAAAAGGACTCGCTGCTGATGGGCGCTTGTTTATATTCAGTTCCCAAGATCCTTTTTGATACTCTTGTCTTTTATTTCTCATTTTAACTTTGAATGAATGAAAGTACTTACAAAATAGCAGAGCAATGCCCAGCAAGATGGCAAGGATGGCCCACTTCCCCAGGGTGACTCCCGCACTCCTCGATCTGCCCAGGCATTGGCTGGGATGAGTGCAATCACACAAGTTGACTCTCAAGATTTTGGTTGAGGATTGGCCAGCTCTGTCTTTTACAGTAACAGGGATGTTGTATATTTGAACATCCGCAGTTTTCTGATAGGACAGGCGAGCAGCTGTGTCTTTGAAGAAAATAAAGATTTTATTTTGATTGGTTGGTTTTGTATGGATAGGTGTACACATAAGTATGCTTAAATATAGAGATCCCATAAGAACCTCAGGTATCATTCCCCAGGAACTGACCACCTTGATTTGTGGATCTCTCATTGACTACCACTTGAAGATTAAACTAGTCTGCCGCCACACCCAGCATTCCAACCATCTACTGCCCAACTGCCCGTACTAGGATTACAAACTGGTACTGCTCTATCCTGATGTTTTCATCTAGGTTCCGAGGACTGAACTCCGGTCTTCATGCTTACACAGACAATACTTTATTGACTGAGCTCTCTCTAGCCTGTTGCTATTTGTAATGAGTGCTTATTCTTCCCTCAGAATCTTTTCTACCACTCTTGCTGGGAAACAAACAAACAAACAAAACTACCAAATTCAAAAATGCAAAGGGGGGGGCTGCCTTTGGTGCCTTCAACCCTTTTCAGAAACTAACATTTTCTTAGACATGACTCCCCCCCTTTAACTCAATGAAAGAAAGCCTTAAAAAAATAAATTTGGATCCAGGTAAGTGCACACCTAAGCTCCTAGTACCTGAGACTAAGGGGGTCGAGTAGGACAGTGAATTTGAAACTAGCGTAAGCTACATAGTGAGACCCTATTTCAAAAGGCCAAAATAATAACAATGGTAATAAACAATACTAATCTGGTATTGGAACGACCTGGTAGCATTCCAGCAATATCTTATTTCCCCTAATCTATACAGAGTAAGAATTGGTTCTTAATGTCAGGGTCAAATTTTTCTTTAATTCCAGCTCATAGGCTGTTAAAGAATCAGTACTTGCAGATACACAGAGAATGTTCTCAGTTTTCACGCTCTAAACTGTAGAGGGAGTTCCCCTAATTGTTTCCTTATTTTTTTATTGGGTAAATAAAGACGGCAGAAGCTAATTGTTGGGCGAAAGAGAAAGTGGGATTTCCAAAAGAACAGGAAGAGATGGGAGGAGAGGATTGGTAGACCAAGAGCTGCAGACATGTAAGTTTCTCAGAGTACTGATAGTTTGTGGCCTCTGCAGTTGTGCCTTCGGAGGGCAAGGACGATGGGGCAAGATATTCTTTGTCCAGCCTCTGAGTTATCTGGTCAATTTTAAAATACAAAAGTCTTTAGTGTTTTTCTTTCACAGTGTGAAACCTGGGTGACAGCTGGGTGAGACCTGGGTGGCCAATAAGACACTTGGCAAGCAGCAAGCGGAGACTGGGAGAGCTAGCGTGGGAGCTGAGAGAGACCAGAGCTACTGTTAGTGGTTGGCAGACCAGCCACAGGATTGAAGGGCCTATGGAATGTGAGCCATAGCTCTAGGTGTTCTCACGAGGAACAGGGGTGGAATGGAAGTAGAGCCAGTGGAGGCATGACCTCGGAGCTAAGTCATAAGGGGCCGCAGCACCGGACAAGGAGACCAGGAAAGGGGAAGCATGCTTCCTAAAATTACACACAACACTAAGCCATTTACTTTTCACTGTCTGTCTTTTAACCCACTAGAAAAGGCAATGTTTCAGAAAGCATAGTACTTCTTGTATGATTAATGCCTTGTATGTAGAAATCTCCATAACAGAGCTAATTATAACTACTTCTCACTACACAAAAACATGATCATTTATATCGTCACACTTTGGTTTTCTATCAACTATGATGGTCAACTGCCCACAATTGTCTTGATAGCCTATTTGAATGATGTGATCATCAATTAACAAAATCTCTATAGGCTTTCAGTGGAAATTATAACATCCTTGGGTTTTAATAATCGAACAAGTAAGATGTCACAGCAGCATAGAATACAGCCAGAAAGCTCCTGGAATTTGTACAGCTTAAATGTCTGTTAGAACTGTTGGGTTTGGCTACTACACCTTGCACCTGAAAGCTTGCTAGAAAACTATGAATGGTTCTTGGATTACATTAGAGCACTTACCAACACCAGTATCTAAGGAAAATTATACAAATTGCTGCCCTTTCTCAAGATCACTGGATAAGCTAAAGCCATGTCATATACTTGTAATAGTTCAACAAACTTGGAGTTTCCTTATTATTCAGCTCAGCCCTCTCCCAATTATCTTCTGACACTACTGTCATCTATATAAGACATACATCTGGATGTAACATGGCCTCCTTTCCACAGTCCCAATCCATAACCCACTGTCACCTACAGTACAAAGGTCAGTCTCCTCAGCTTAGGACATAGCCCTTACCACCTAACTTCAGCCTTCTATACCCAAGTACTTAGCACTCCCGAGGAAATCTTTAAACTCTGATGACTCTCAATCACCACTACCCGACTGTGCTTGTTTTCCTTCATAGATACTCTTTCATCAAAACACCGATTAAGCAGTCACTCTTCAAGTAGCTATGTGCTAGGCACTAGGCTCAGTGCAGAAAGTGAGAGAGGACGGCTAGTAAACTGCAGTCACACAAGGTGTGAGTTTACAGCACATGATGGAAAACGTTACAGGACCCTCCAGATTCTTCTGGGAAGAGTCATCAGAGCCTAAGCATCTGATCTGAGGTGCTGCCTGCCTGACTCATCCATACACATATATTCAGGGTATGCAGCGTATTTGACCAGTAGTAAGCAATCCATAAATTTTATGTTAGCATGAAACTAAGACAGAGTGAAGGTAATCTTTCTAGGCAGAAAAGAACAGCATACATAAAGTTAGTAGAATGAAAGAACATGGTAATAGGAGCTGGAGAGATAGCTCTGTTGTTCCTGAGGGAATTCAGTTCCCGGCACCCATATTGAACAGTTCATAACTGTCTATAACTCCAGTTACAGGGAATTTGACACCCTCTTCTAGAATCTATGAACATGCAAACACACACATCCACAGGCAAATGTAAACATGCTACAGAGAGATACACAGACATGCACACACATACACACAGATTCATGCGTTGGAAAAAGCTAATTTAACAACCTAAACTTTTACATCATACTTTCTGCAAATTGATATGTAAACCCTCCAGTAGTTATTCGGCTGTTTCAAGTCACATGAATTGTTATCTTTCTGGAATACCATTAACTTGGTTGAGGGCCCAGATTCTGTTGACTTCTGGAGAAGAGTTTGCCAAGTTGAACTGAAAGGGAGGGCCATGGATAGGTTCATCAGGATCCACAGCTGAAATGTCTGTATACCCCATCTTTGGCTTGCAGATGACAATATAATCTTGAATTATCTCTGGTGCATTGTCATTCACATCCTCAATGTTCACTGCAAGTGTTCCTGTGCATGATTTACCCTCTGAAAACGGATAGGGACAGGGCTCAGTGCTGGTCTCAGATTCTTGTCTTAGAGTCTACGCAAAGCAAAATGAACCGTGATCTCTATTTTTATACGCACACAAATACATAATTTTAAATCTAGGTCCAACACATGAGAGAAGACATGTGGTATTTGTTTTTCTGAGTCTAGCTCTTTTCTCTTAACACCTGCAAGGGTCACTATTTATTTTTCTTCACAGAAATATGAAATCCCATTGTATATATGTAGCACGTTTTCTTTATCCATCATGGCCATCTAATCTAGTTCTACTTCCCAGCTCTTGTGACTACTGCAGCATGGCTTGTGGGGGCATAAGTTACTGAGTGGTACAGATGGAATCTATATTTCCTGAAAATATAATCTTTGGTTATTAGATGAATGAGGAATATGAACATAAATGAGTAAAAGCTACAGATTGTCTAAGATGGTTCCTGCTGTTGATAATATCAGATACAAGTTTTAACACGCCCTTTGCCAGAATGATAAATGATAGAAGGAAATGCTGAATTGAATGCTTTCTTTCCTTGAGTTCATGGATGTTAATGACTCATGATGAAGAATAATATAGAAATATTATAGAAATATTATTCTAGTCCCAGGTTGAGGTTTTAATGTATTACATAAAAGCTCCACAACCAAATATTCTAATTCAATTAGTACACGGTAATATAAAACATCAAAATTATTGTTATTTAAAATAAAGCCGCCCTTCGGCCGCTGCCTGGTCCCTTGGACTGGAGCAGACACAGAGTCGGTCTGCTCCT